AGGATTTCTTCTATTGAACCAAAAAGTGATATTAATATATTTCGCATCAATGCCATTAAATAAAGTAGAATGATTTACATAACTTCAGTCATTAGCAATCAGTACGTTAATGATTTCTCAGACAAAATTCTCACACGTTTTTCTCTATTGATCCCCATATTTGATTGCGTCGGCGCAACATTTCTTACCGTCGAGAAACTAGACCAGTTCTCATGGTGTTTCCAATCATAAATCACCCACCACAATGATCTATAAGGAATTTAAATTAAACCTACTAAAGTTGAAAATCCTATAATTCACATTAACATTCGTTGAGTAGTGCCTTATTACTAGTCTTTAATTACAACAGCTCTACAATAGAGCCGTAAACAAAGAGTTTATTTGATATGTCGTCTCCTGCTGGATATAAGCCTCCCCTGGAGATTTCCAAGACTCCGACAGTGTTGTACCATCCGCATCCATATTTGATTTATGTACCAAAAATATTAAAAAAAATTTAATCATGATTTACGAACTGTTACTATGATTTTTTTTAAACAGTTTGATTAGTAAATCAGTATGGTTTTGTTTAATTTCTTGACTCCCGATGATGATGATAGGTAGCTATCTGTATAAGAAAAATATAAAAAAAAAAAAATATACGTAGAGTAAAGAAAGTGTATGTAGGTTGGTACGTTTCATTTAGTTAATTGTACTCTATTGTTCATCGTTCAATTCAATTATTTCTTTAGAAAGTGTGCACATAATTGTAATAATTTTCTTCTTATTGGAATTTCTTGAATTATTAGAATATTTGGTAGGTATCTAAATGAAGAAAATGGTGGCGTTTTATCGAATGTAGTATTTACCAAATATAATAAGTCTCATTAGCGTCATGTTATGACATCGGTATTTACGAACGCCTTATGTGACATAAATTAGCTCTTTTATCTCAGTGTCACTTTTTCGCACGACTTAATGTGGCGAAGACTAACTTAGAGATAGTTAGTATGTAAAAAGACGTAAGTTCTTGTTACTTATGTATCTTTTGCAACTAAATGTAATCAGTCAAATGCGAGTCGAATTCGCACACGAAGGGTTCCGTACCCATCGTACATGTACTTTTTATTAATATGACTTTTACTCTGTGTATGTAGTATATTAACTTCGAAGATCGATTTCGAACGTTAAAAAAAATGTTTCTTGTACCTATTTATTTTTTTTATTTTTATTATTTGTTGTATATCGGCAATAGAAATAATATGTTACTTCTATATTTAGAAAAAAATTGACAATCAAAAAATTTGTATTCTAAATTTATTTTAAAATATATCCGAAAATAACATTAAAAATTTAAGTAATAGTATAAAAAATGTTCTAAAAGACAAAAACATCGAAAGTGCATAATACTCGTAATTACAAGACTTCCGCGACACCATTCAGACAAAGAGAGACCATTCAGACAAAGAGAGACAATAGCATTCCCAAGGAGGGTTGACATCAGGCGGCCGGTCGTAAAACTTTGCCAAATCCTTTCAGCAATACAGAAGGTGTACAGTGCGCCGACCCCAAGTGATTGGGAAATGGGCAGGGAGAAGAAGAAATAATATAGAAATACGTACTGTGTAAAATTCTCAAAAATAATTATATTTTGCAACTAAGTTTTCTAGAGCAATATTATGAGTTTTAGTCATACAATAGGGCATTCTAGTTTACACACACGCTGTCTTGTGTAATTTGAGTTATTCGACTTATTACTGGAGTTTTTGCCAGAAAATTAATTAACAGTTTTCTACATAAGATACGTTTCAGTTTTTCTCATTGGAAATAATTGCACTTGTTGTTTCTATGCATTTTCATACGAGGGAGCTTCGACCTGTCTTAAAGTTTAAGCCCAAGGGTCTGACATGGTTTTACGACTATTATTGTTTGAGAATGACTGTACTCTGTGAAGCACGTAAAGCTCAAATCGCTATGTAACAAAATGTCACTTATTCAAATATGTACTTATCTGGGACGATTTGCTCTTCTTATTACGACTTTATTTTTATAGTATTGTAAATAGAGCTGAATATAAGTAAATAGTGTCGAATAGCTCTATACTATTTCTCTTCTTACATCCTCCTGACTCGATTTTTAGCATTTTTTTCTATGTACAGGCATTCGACCTCTACAGTTTTATTATATTATGTATAGATATTGAAGGTTTTACGTATTTGTATGCTCAACACGAATAATTGTATATTAAGAATCAGGTGTTATATTATGAACGTAATGTTGTAGTAGTACTTTGGTATGACTTTTTAAACTAAAGACAATTAGGTTTAACTCGTTAATATCTTAAAGTTATAGTACTAAATAAGTAGAAGATGCTAAAAACAACATTTTAAAGCTTTAATAAGATAGTAGTAATCTCAAGTTAAACACACGTTAAAACTAATGTCTCGTTTGACATTGAACTTGAAAGCAATTCCTTTCTTTTATATCTTAAAGTTTAAAAAGTTCTACCGTGCTCCAACGTGATATAAAGCTCTTATTAGTTCCAGACGTATAAGTTTATATCAGATACTAGATGCTTCTAGTACTTCTGTACCATTTCATTCGATTTAACTGTAGGATTCTATCTAATATCTATACTAATTTATAAACCGCTGACGAAGTTTTTTTTTGTTTTTTGACCTTGCTAACCTCTAGATCATACAGACTTCCTATTGAGGAAGAAGATATGAAACATGTCGTTATGAGTAATTATAATAAGCAAATAAACTAGGCGGGCGAATCCGCGAACGAACGCAAGTATTTTTAATAAATTAAATAATTTTATTAAAAATACTTGTGTTCAGAGAGGGAGAGCAAGTAGATATTCTGCATTAAATTCGGTCTATATGAAGATTATTTGATTATGGAAGATATTTTAGCGCAAATTTCTAAGAGAACTAATTAAAAAAAAAATTACATAGAAATATCTAGTCTTATATCTATACACCAGTCATATATTTCCATATAAGCGCTTTATCGGCTGGCTGGGATTAACTGGAGATTTATGACAAAAATTCAGTGAAGAAATTCACACTCTATAGCTTAGATTCTCGACCTATCTTTGTTTGAGCGTCTAGATATTTATATAGTTTTTTTCTGACGTTCACGTATACATATACTTATATGTTGGAATTAGTGCTGAAATTCCTATCAAACTTTCAGTTTCAGCAGAAAACCTGCCAAAACTATGAACCGAGATTAAAACGCGCTTTTGTATGACTCATGAACGATTGGCGTACTGTCCACGAGTTTCGTTTTTCTGAGTGAAGTAGGTGCATAGGTTTTTGAAGCAAATTAAAAATTTATTTCTTAAAATAACTGATTTATTTTTTATTTACAGATTTGAAACATAATGCAAAAAAGTCTGAAACCTAAGCGAAATTCGGGTTTAGTTTACTAGTTCAGTCAGACACTATCTATCATGCACTTATCATTTCGCATGATCGTGTTGTTAGCGGAGATCATGTGTAGGGTTCAGGCAAAGAAGCGGAAATGTCCTTATGAATAGATAATGAGAAAAAAGCAATTTCAAATTTAGAAGTCATAATATTTTTTTTGAGATCAAAGTGTGCAGTAACTTTTTACTATGTACATTTTTGGACAATGCTCCTTCTTTACCGGTGTGTCATGGACATTCCCAGTTCTTTTCGCTTTGGGCATAGATTAAAACTAATTTTTAGCGACATTCCTTAAGTATTTGTAAAAACCAGTGGCTTTGAATGCAAATACCATAGACATAGATTCGTTACCATTACAAAACTAAAATTATGGTATTCTCTGTTCTTTGCCTGTACCCTTCGTATAGTGTCTACCTTTTCATCTTCCCCAAGAAAAATGTAACAATTTTTACATACATTTTAAATTCATGCACTATACTTTGTTAAGAATTTCAAATAGTATTTTTTGTATATTATATACTGTATGTGCAATAAAGTACAAAAACAACTTGCAAGCTTCTTATTTGTTGTACTTTGTCGAAATGAATTTTTAAAATGAAACGAGTAAAGTCTAAAACAAAATACGTTAAACGGAAAATACGTTAAATTTAATATAAAAGGTGAAAATACATCTCGAACATTAAGTAACCTGTCATGATCTATTTCAAAGAACAAAAAGTGCAAAACAAAGATGCCAAGAAAATACGAACGAGAAATTCATTTCATTTCCTTGTACCTTTTAAAGTTTGTAGATAAGATAAAACAGTATTTCACACAAACGAGCCATTCCTAAGGCCCTGTCCGCACTGCGTTTTTTCATCGAGCCATTTTTATTCTCGCGTATTATATTCTGTGATCGGAATTATACTTATTACGCACTGCGAATAAAATTTCGTACGATTTTTGTGTATCCGATGCAGTTCAACTTTAATTTAGCTGATACTACGGTGGGACAGACCTATCAAAAGATGTCATAAACATTGGATTCACTCATTTACGGCCTTGAGAAAGCCCCACCGCATCGCAATCAATCTGCATCAAATCATAGATTTTTCCCCGCGTGAATTTTTAACTGCCAGTGCGGCTCGCGGCTACTCCTATAAGATTCAGTGTGTTACAGAATTGCGAGACAAAAAACGTGCGCTGAAATATCGCAGTGTGGACAGGACGTAAGACTAGTGGCAGTTTATAAACTACATTACTTTTGTTCGGTTGAACATGTCTTAAATTGAGATGAGATTTTTATTCAATTTTTACAACTGAATTTGAAGATAGCCAATTTTGTATATTCTGTGACGTTTAAAAAACAGACTCGTTCTCTTTTTCATTTTACAATTATCAATCGACCTTTGTTAAAACGATTTTTACAGTATCAAAATAATAGACGAATGTTTCGTAAGCTACGAATTAACCGACTATTAAGAAAGACAATGGTAACCAAATAATATAAGAAAAAATATCAATTATTGTTATTTAAATAAAACTCTGTTTTTTTACAGGAAGCAGTAAACTTCGTAAAACTGGAGTTTCTATAACATCACCATCATGGATTCTGAGAGGTAATTTTTTTTTGCATAAAATATAATATACCAGCCACTAGACTACAGTCTACTCGCCTGGTGTCATAGATCCCATATATTTACATTTAGTCAGAAACCAGTAAACAGTAAACCCGCTTTGTATAGAAAACACAGAACGGGGAGCTTTATCTATCTCTAACTCGACCTATTGAAATGAAACTTAGCCATTTTGTTAATACGCCTTTACTAGCTTTACGTAACTATGTAACCAAATCTTGGAAATCAATATTAACCTATTTTTACTGTCGTATTGATATGAAAGTTTGTAAATAAATGAAATCCAAATAACAATACAATTATTTAACACCATTGGTTTAATCAGATTGATCAGATTATTATTTGAGCAACAAAGAAGTTATGCCAGCGATAAAGAAACTTTTAGTCTAATCTGAAAAAAACAGCCAATTAAAGAATTAGATGTCTATATTATTATAGCCAAACGGCTATATATAATATAATATATGTAATAAATCGTGGCTGGAACTAAAGCTTTTACTTATTCCAATCAGTTGACTCTATCCCTTTCCACGTGATTTCACATAAATCGAAAATATACATATGTATAGTAAAGATAAACTGACGAATATTAAACCCTTAATGTTAAATTTTAACTTAAGTTTATTTTTTAATGAATTTAAAAAATAATTATATTTATAACTAGCATTGCCCGCGGCTCCGCCCGCGTTCAGATGACCAAAAAACAAAAAAAGTTAGAATTTTATTATTTGTATAGATATTGCAGTACATTCCTAAAAACTCCTAAAGCAATATATTTCCATTTGATTGTTTAAACGCTTCGTTTGATATTAATCTCAGTTTGTGAACATACGTATGAGGTTGTTAGATTGGCTCGATAAGATATATTAAAGCCTAACACCGGCTTTGTTACTGACAATCTGCTTAAATACTTCTATAGACGATTAGTGTTACTGTAATACATGTATTTACATGGCGTGACTAGCACGTAGCTATGTTTTTTTATATTGGATTATTTTTACAGTAAATGGCCAGTCACATATGGTTCTGCTTTAGATTTCTCTTCTACGAGTCAATACACAGATCATGCTTTTGCTCTATCTATGGTTCTACTACACTAAAAACTAACCTAAAATAAGGCTTATATTACTCTTTTACTTGTCCCTTAAGGAGTTTATGCGACCCACTATCGTAAACTCAGTGCACCATCTTTGTCGATACTCTAATAAATTAAATCAAATTATATCTAGTATTACCTTTTTGATGAAAAATTGCATGTGCCACTTTCTAGTCCATCTATATTAATATTATAAAGAGGAATGATTTTTTTGGTTTATTTGTTTGTTTCTACCGAATAGGTTCCGAAACTACTGAACTGATTTAGATAAAATTTGGTAAGAAGATAGTTTAAGACCCTGGGATGAATATAGGGTAGTTTTTATCCTAGAAATTATCTTTTAAGGGGGTGAAAATGTGGATGGAAGTTAGTATGGGGAAGCAACCTAGTGACGAACCCGAGCTAAGCGAAGGTGAATCGCTAGTAATCTATATATTGATATAAAAAAACACAGTATTTTTACAAAAAAAATAACTTAAATGAATCACTCGCTGCAAACCAATAGACACATTTTCAAAACAATATTAAGTAAGCATTTATGTTATGAGATATATATAGTAGAAGTTTAACAAAATAATTTACAATAAACTTGTGAACTCAACGTCCAAATGTACAATTAACCTTTCACTCTCACGATTCTAAGATACGTGTAGGCTTTTAACAGACTAATTGCTAGTATAAATAGTTCATTGGTGCTTTTGTCGTACACGTATTGAATGCCTGGAGCTCTTAAAATAAGATTAGGTATATGGCATACATACTCGTACTAGCGACACATGCGCGCTCCACTTGGATTCGTCCCTAGTTACGTTTTAACGTTTAGTATAGATTTCTCAGAGATTAGATATTTTCCCGCAATAAAAAGAATCTTATATGTTAACCGGATAACTAGCTATCATCGTACAAAACTTCATCAAAATCTTTTCAGTGGTTTTCTTGTGATGCGGTCAGAGACAAACAGATAGACAGACAGACAGACAGAAATTCTAAAAATTATAAATTTGGCCTCTGTATCTATAATAATGACTATTTAAATAAGATTTTCCAAAAAATATTTTATGTACAGATTCAACTCCGAATTTTATTATATGTAGAGAGAAGATAGATTTTTTAAAAACCTTTTTGTATTAATTTGTTATTATTTACTAATATAATAGAATAGGCTGGTAAAAAGTCACGAAAATCAAACAGACCATGGAAAGCTAAAATATTTATGAAAATATTTTTGGGAGATCGTGCGAAGTTTATGGTGCTTACAAGGTTCGAGTATTCAACCCAATAATCTTTCTCCCTCACTGAACTTTTTTATAGCTAAAACAATAACACATGATTTATAAAGTTTATTTTTGTATCTCATTTCTACTTTAGCATGGCTGTATTTACGTTTGAATATATGTGTTCAATCCACAATTATTAAATATGACCCACATTTGATTTAGTTATATGGAACACGTAGAACAGGCAACTCAGACTGATTGGATTTGACTATTTGTAATATACTATTATGATACAGCTTCATATTTATTACTAGCATTGCCCGCGTCTCCGCCCGCGTTCAGATGATCAAAAACCAAATTCTTAGATTTTACTTATTAGTATATTCTTACACTGCAGTTTTTATATTTTTTCTCAGAAATGAGATATTTTCCCGCGGTAAAAAGTATCCTATATGTTGACCCGGATAACCAGCTATCACCATACCAAATTTCATCCAAACCCCTGCAGTGGTTTTTCCGTGATGCGGTAACAGACAGGCAGACAGACAAAAATTCTAAAAACTATAGATTCGGCCTTTGTATCGATTAATGTCTATTTCAATAATATTTTCCAAATAATATTTAATGTACAGATTCGGCTTAGTTAGAATTTTATTATATGTATAGATATAGGTACATTCTGAAAACATGTTTTCGAAAATTACTTCGGTTTTACCTGACACGAAGATTTTATTTTCTTCATGATTACGACAAAGTAAAATACTTCACCGTACTCACAAGTGGTGATATGTAAATAATAATTAGCAAATTAAATCTCAGTGAGTCCAGGCTTGAGTTTGAACCCGCTTCACTTGGCTTAGCAAAACGACACGCTACCAATGATCTCCCATTGCCTATTACAATTCTAATATCCGTACTTTGCGTAGATCATTACCATCTATTATCATGTACCCTCAGGTTATCGGCGAGGTGATAAATCATTGATCCTATCTCGGATTGTGTGGGTGCATTGTAACATTGGATGCAGATAGAATGGCGAGATCAAAACAATGTGAGCTCTAACGAGCGTGTGTGTATTTGAAATGCGTTGTTACAAACGGAGCTTAATATCTGAAATTAATTTTGAATTAACAATTTTCTGTCTTTCTTCCTCCTTAATTGATATTTTATATGAGAATGTATGTTCATTGGTTTGATTTATTTCAACGTAGCAATTAGTGCAAACGGATGATAATTTTTCATACAGATTATTTATAGATAGAGCGATATAAGCATGTGAAAAAAAATACTGAAGGATGCGCGTTTTCTATTCAGGGTCTGATCTAAATCATGGGGGTTCATTAAAAATTCTTCTATTAATTTAATAATAATTAATATTAGAATAAACTCCCTAAAAAACCTAAATTATCCTAATGATTAGTTATTAAATGAACGATTCCTAGCATTAATTAAGATTTTTTGTATAATGATTACTAATTAAGCGCCCATCATCATTCTATCGATGTACGTAAGTTCGTTAACTGCGGATCTAAAGATAAAGTCTTAGCTACAGGTAATGGTATAACATTCCGCGCGAATTCTTCTGTAAACATTAATTATGCTTTATATAATTACTTTTTAACTAAGAATTTCTTATAATAAGTTACTTCATATTACTTTTTTTGTAATTATCCTATTACTATATATTAATAAGTATCCTACTACTATGCATCTGCTCTCCGTCCGTCCGTCAGAGGGCTGTATCTATAATCTATGTGAACCGTAATACGTAGAGAAATTAATATACTACATACATAGAGTAAAAGTCATATTAATTAATAAATAATACATGTATGATGGTACGGAACCCTTTGTGTACGAATTCGACTCGCGCTTGACCGATTTTTATTTGTTTCGTTATACTTTAGTCCGTGGGTATATAAATAGAAAAGTGGTCCACGTCAACAATAAAAATTGTATATATGGACTACTTGTAAGGCATTATAAATGTATTAATTATAAAAATGAATGAAAATCTGTACACACAAATTGTAATTTAAATATTACAAAACAGAATTAAGTAGCTTTTTCTAATAGGATTTTTTCATAATTTTTCAGAAGTTTGAATACTTAATCGCCTTCTGGCTCTATCTTCAAAAGTCAACACGTTCTTATATTTTAGTACTCAAAACAAAATAACGGGTATCATTTCGGTGGATTTACTTATACCGAGTTATTAAAGACACCCGCTATATAACCCTTGCTTGCATCATCAAATCAGTTTGATAGCTCTGATGTTTGTTAAGAACAAAATGTGTTTAAATTAATTCTGTCAAGGATTTTTTTACAATTATTACTGCACTGTCATTACTCGAACCTAAATTAAGAGAAATGACGCAGTCAAAAGATAACAAGATCTGAATTAAAATTGTTATGTAAATCACATGTTACGCTGATTTTAGATGTGCGAAAGTTTGTAAGTGAGTTTGTTACTTCTTTATAATGTAGCAACCACTCAATGAAATGCAGTATGAAGATAGCTTATATCTATTCTAATATTATATAGAGGAAAAAATTTATTTTTTGTTTGTTTTACCCTACTGAACCGATTTAGATGACATTTGCTAAAAAGATAGTTTAAGACCCTGAAGGACATGGAATCGTTTTTGTCCCGGAAATCATCCCTTAAG